TTACAGACCTGCTTTTCATCAATTAACTATGTCAGTTGGTTGCTTGTTCTTTTCTCTTCAATCAGTCCAAGGTGAAATAGAAGAAGGAAAGCGTTCAGCAAAACACATTAGAGTTCAAAAGTTGATATGACTTACTTATGTGTTTTCTTGTAGAGAAGATATGAATTAAGTATGCATTGTTGCAGGATATTTTTCTTTTCATTTAAATTGATGTGCTAGATACTATCAACGTAAACTAAGCTGGAAGAGCAACATAGCAGGTCCTTGGAAGCTACTTTGATGAAAATGGCTCAGGATGTCTTAATCATTTGTAGCATGAGAGGAACTAAAGGTTTTCATAAAGAAACTTGTACCAATTTAGAAAAATGTGTAGGATGATATCATGGATGATCTCAGGGGACCAGATCGTAGCCTTTTGAAGCTTAGAGACAGATTTTTGCAGTAACTTCTCGGTGGATTGGGGGATTAGTTCTTAACTTATGGTACCTCTTTTGTTTAATGTGAAAAAGAAAAAATTATTCATATAGAAGGATCTCCATCCACATGGTGAAGTTAAAGGAATCTCCTGATGAAAGAGGAGACCATCCTCGTTTCCAAATAAGATAGGAGCACCTAAAGGACAATACTTGACTTGGATTCAACATAAGCTTAGGCCACATTCATTTTACTCATAGGAACTTGGCCATTGACGATCTGTCTATAATGGTGCAGTGTAGAAGGTTATATATATGATAATCCTAAGTGTCTAAACATCCTTTATTTCTTTTGTCTTTATTAATGTCCAAGGCTTAAGCACAACTAGTCCAACAACTTTTTGAATCCAAATCATTAGCCTTCAAAACCTTTAGTTCAAGTTATTAATAATATGTACCTTGAACTCTTTATATGGAGTTCACCAATCACATATTTTTTTGATGTTGGATTTTGGGAGTCGCAATCTCCATTAGTCAATTTTTTGACGTTCTTATCAAGGCCACACATTACACATTCACCAATCACAATCCCAAAGCCCATAAGGTCCAAGATTGTACTAGCCGAAGTCATCAAACATGCTTTGACAATATTTGTTATGCCTCGGGCCCAAACACCACTAGCCCAACAATTTTTTGGAGTCAAACCACTCGCTCTTAAAATTTTAAGCTCAAGTTATTAATAGTATGTGATTTGAGATCTTAGATTAAGGTTAACACTCACATGTTTTTTTGCTGTGGAACTTGGATATCTCAGTTTAAGTGTAAATATTTTAATTTTTACTATAGATATGCACCTTTGTGATGCTTATTTGTAAAATTTTTTCATTTAATAGGTTAGATATCTAATAAAATAATGGTTCTGAACTATTTTAAGAAATTAAAAGATTTCACACTCATAGCTAGGTGTCATTTTTTTGAGACTCTTAGAGATGCTTGGCATTTGAGATGTTTGTAACTGCTGCTTCAACCTTCAGACATCAAGATGAGAGGAAGAGGTTAAACTCATTTTTGGAAGAGGTTGGTAGAGAAGTAGGAGATTTGAAGGTTTTGCTTAAAGTTTCCTATTTTGCTGCTGTTTTGGTCTTCTATAGCTTAGTTTTGTTTCTGGAAGACCATTGTATGGCATAGAATTTCAACCTCCCATGTTGAACTTTGGTTGTGGAAAAGATGTATGCGTCCACGTACGAGAAGGAATTTACATCAGATGTGAGTTAAAAAGTCTATAATGTCTCGTAAGTCTTTCACTAGAGATAGGATGACTGGAAACAAAGTACTCGAAGGGAAACCAACTAACTATTCTTGATTCTATTGAAAACACTCCTCCAATACCTGTATTCTATTGTTTTGGGTCAAATTATCGGGAAAGCTGTAAGAAGGGTGAGGAATAAACATCTGGTTTTAATTTCAAGCATTTGGGAGTTTCCTCATAACAGAGTTCCTGGTTATGTACTTGATTCATCTCAATTTTTTTTTTTGAGAATTACGTAAAGTCAGGGAATCGGAAGGAATTCATAGGACAAAATAAACAAACCTAAAATTTCTTTTGAGGTTGATTCTTATTGCAATTGAAACATTATGTGGAGGTATCATTCAGTATTATGTAATATTTAATGTTTTACACCGTCTATTTGACTTCAGAATTTTAGAATTCTCACTCCAATGTTTTTTAACTTGAAAATATTATTTTATTCTAGCCAGATAAATGCTGGGCAGGAATCTCTCTGCTTGGGTTGACTTGTCAAGATTGCAGTTCGGATCGTTTCTTGGCATCATACTCTAATTGGTTCCACAAGGTTCTGGCACACATTCAGGTGAATGGAACTAAACTTCTATTGTGTGTTAAGACTGTCAGCTTTAGGTTATGATCATTATGTACGATCAGTATTTTCTTCACATGGGTTCTTGTTGTTTGTTTTTATTTGATTGAATGGAATTTTGAATGTAACAGTGGATATCTTGATAAATTACTAGCTGTCCTGGAATTGAAATATTGCTGCACTCATACAATAATAAAATGATGAAAACTACCAGTCATCTTATCATCTCTTCATGACTGCTAATAGATGTCTATGGTTGATAGTTTTTTCTTTTTCCAGATTCTCATGTTTTAATAGTTGAACAGAAAATAATTAATGAAGCTTATTCAGTAGTCTGGTTTCATACTGCAAGCTGCTTCTGGAATGGTCTGAGTGACCTCATTATGACTGTCATTGGAGTGTAACAACTAAGATGGAATTTCAACTGGCTGGTTCGGAAGCTAAGGAAGTCTGCTAGTTGTGGACCACTACTTAGGCACCTAGGCTTTGAAGAATTTATTGAAAAAAGAAAGGTTTTTTATTCTTGTTTTTCCTCCGCCAGTAATAGTTTTCTCATTTAAAAACTTTTGATGCAATAGAAGACCAATAAGTGTTAGCAGTAAAAACATTAGAAGGTATTCAACCATTAGAAAAGCAACAACTTCGCGGACATAAAATAAACGGGAACAATATGTTCTGCTTGGGGACATCGATTGCTTGCTTCTTATAAATGGCACTAGATTCCCAGTGCAGTTATGCCTGAAGGATTTCCTCTTTCTTTAAGTTTGAAGATTTAAATTCTTCTCGGAACTGTTACTCATTGAATTTTCCTTTGAAGAGCATCTAAAACAGTGTCATTTTCCTTTCTTGCAGTTTAAATCTTTAGCCTGCATGTTGAGAGCTGACTCTCGAGTATATATATATTTTTTGAAATAAAAACTCTCCGGTAGATTAAATTTATACTAATTCTCTGTTTTAAATGTAGATTATCTAGTTTATATTTGTAATTGTTGCCCCAACTGGCTGTTTATAACTGTTTCCAATTCAATTTTTCTCATGGTACAAGAAGAAGATCAACATATTTGAGTTCATTTCATTCTCATAGTTGTGGCTGCAGCTGCCAGCTGTTGTTTTCATTGTTGAGTATAGTTTATTTGGGTCTTTTTCTAATGATTCTGTTATCTATATTTTTAATTGTTTTATCCCAAGAATTGCGAGAGCTAAATTTGGTCCAATGATATAATATAATACATAATGGTTATTTATGTTTTTGTTGTGATGGAAAACCTTCAACTTTAATCACTTTTTTCCTCTTTGGCCTAAAGCCATCAAGGGGATTTATATGCACAGATGTGATAAAAACTATAGATCTCAAGTTCTGTTGTCTGAACGGTGGATTGTATTGAGGATCAGTACCATTGCATCTTAGTATAAAACTATGACGTAAAAGAATGTGGCAGCTGCTCTGTATAATGTTGTTCAAAATTTTTCATTTTCTATTCTCTATCATTTAGTGCATGTTCTCTCACAAAGAAACATCTCTCAAAAAAATCTTTTAGTGCATCTTATCCAACTAAAATATTTTAATT